ATGGCTTTTCCTACCATGATGCTATACACCGACTATCACGAGCCTAGGTCGAGCCGTTTAGATTTGTGCCGCCATTCTGCATTTCCTCCCTATACCTTTAGTTAAGTAGGGAATGTTCCCCCTTCTTTTACACCTCATGACCTTTGACCTTTGACCCCCAGCTTCGACATCCCAACTCGTTTTCGGATTACTCCCCCACGTCCCAAATATCGTGACCGTACGAGATTTGTGCCCAACTGTTGACGAACGGACGGACGCACGAACGAACACACGGACGCACGCTCATGCGATTCTACAAGCTGCATCTGACTATGTCAGATGAGCTAAAAATTGATTATAAAAAGATTTTAAAATTTCGTACAAAATTTTCCGCTAGGTGTCTGCAACGACGAGTGTTTGACGTTTGTCGGCACGTTTCATCGCGATGGCGATCGATTGAGTGATGTTATATCAAATGATTTTATTCTACGAGTGTGAAAACCTAGATATTTTGATTCCTCGTGAACCTTAATCGATATAATGTGAAAATGAACTCAATCAAGTTGTATCCAAAGCTGGTTTATACACTAAAGGTTTGATCGTGACGACGATGCTTTTTTTCAAGTGCGATCTATTGTATTACGTTATTAAAACTAGTATAGAATTATAAATTTAATTTTTGTTCTTTTTCGTAAACTAGATATTTCGATTCCTCGTGAATTAATCAATATAATTTGAAAATGAACTCAAGTTGTATCCAAAGAATGCATGCTGGTTTATACATCCAAGATTTGCCGGGCCAGCGAGCATTTGATGAAATAGTGGCTTCAGTTCTACCATTTCGAAAACGTCCTGAGACAGATTATATGTCTATGAAGGAAAGAAATTGAGTTGTACCCAAAATCTACACAGCATGACGATAAAATCATATATTTTTATCATTGAATATAATTCAAGCATAAACGTACTGTCTAACGATGTGTGTTTGCCATTCCTCCTGTGACTCTAGTTGGCGACTCTTAGGAGGTTGTCCTGTGTAAGAGTAAGAGGTACCTGTAATAAACACGTATACATATTACACACGTAGTCATTGCTATATGTAGTAGCTACACGTAAATGAAAACCACCAAACTATATTTACTAATAACTATATCATACAATAAACTAATTTAAACAATCCTTCATAGCACATGAACACCATACCGGACATATTTTAGTGTGGATGCAACAGTAGGTGGAATTAGTGTGCGACAAAGTATCTGGATATAGATCAGTACAAATCACTTTGCGTGACTATAGATCATAAAATGTAGTAGTAGAACTTACCACTCGCTACACTCTCTGGCCTGCTGCTCGTTTTCCTGGAGCCTACAAAAACAGAAATACTAACATTTTAAAAAGACATGATAAATGTTCATGATATTTACAGAGAGACGTTACAACAATGAGAAACGTTTTCCAAATTGATAACTATGAACACATACGACAAACTAAAATGACTTTAGAATTGTACTAAATGAGTAATAAGTTATAAAATGCTTTAGTTCATCACAGCCATTACAATGAGACTATTTTTTTTAGCCTTAGAATCTTTCCACTTGCCCTGGGATGGGTTTCTTTTGTCAAATTCTCTGATGAAGGGCTCCAGCTTGGGTTTCGCATATGCAATATCCCTAGCAGTTTTGCCTCTCTGCAGAGCAAAATGTTAATAGGCTAAAGACACAGCTATTAATAACACAGTTATGAATCTATATGAAATCATGTATTACAAATTTAGAATGGAATTACATACATATATTGCCCACGATTACCGGCTTCCATCACTTCTGATCCACCATAAAAATACTCCAAAATAAATATCCAATTAATCCCCAATTAACAGGGGGTGAATTAAGAGAGTCAAGAGCAGTCGCCGACGACCTAACGACCCCATCCCACTTTCGTGACTGCATGCCCGATATTCCCGCAACAAAAATTTATCTCAGTCGAAACAGAACAGCGCAATTCGAAATCAAAAATACGCAATCGAAATCAGAATCGCATCCTACAAATTTTAAAACAAAATCTGCGGTTGGAGACCCCCCTACCCACCTCCCACTCTGCTCTCATCTGATACCCCCTCCTGTAACCCGTGGGTCTGCCCTATCCCCCTTACACCCTAAACCGAGTGTGACTGCCATATCTTCCCGAGTGATCCCTTCCCCTACCCCCCCCCTCCAGCTCCACCCCTCATCTACTGCCTCCCTCCCACTCTGCCCTCATCTACTGCCTCCCTCCCACTCTGCCCTCATCTACTGCCTCCCTCCCTCCTATCCCCGCTCCCTACCCCCGCCCCAGCCCTCCCGCCCCCTACCCCCTCCCCAGCCCTCCCGCTTCACCCTCATTTACTGCCTCCCTCCCTCCTATCCCTGCCTCGTCCTTGCCTTGTTTTTCTTCGCGCTCGCTGCGCCGGACAGAACGAGGAGCCGGAAGCTCTTCAGGCTCTCCTGAGTCCTAAGATCAGACCTTATCTGCTGCCTCCCTCCCATAGTCTATCTATAGGTGTCCCCCCACCCCCATCGAGTGTCACTGCCATATCTCCTGGGCCTCCCTCTCTCCTATCCCTGCCTCATTCTCGCTTGCCTTGCTTTTCTTTGCTATCGCGGCACCGGACAGGACGACCAGCCGGAAGCTCTTATCGGACTTATATTAAAGATCGGACCTTAAGAGAAGACCTTAAGAGCGAATATCTTATCTTATAAGAACGAATGCCTTGTCCTTGCCTTGTTCTTCTTCGCTATCACTGCGCCGGACAGGACGAGCAGCCTGAAGCTCTTATCGAACCTTACATTAAAGATCGGACCTTAAGAGAAGACCTTAAGAGCGAATATCTTATCTTATAAGAACGAATGCCTTGTCCTTGCCTTGTTCTTCTTCGCTATCACTGCGCCGGACAGGACGAGGAGCCGGAAGCTCTCGAGGCTCTCCAGCTCAGCTGCGACGTGGCTCGCGCTGTTCTGGTTCTTGTCGACGGCGTTCTTGACCTTCGCCGCGTCCTTCCTCTGCAGACAATGATCGACGACGACGTCCTGATTCGTCGCTGGCCGAGGTGAAATGTCAGAGGTGAGCGAAGGTGTTGTTGACTAGCGATCGGAGGGGTGGTAGGGTGGGGTTGGGGGTAGGACGGGGTGGGAGGTAGGGCAGAGTGGGGGTGTTAGGTAGGGTGGGGTGGGAGTGAGGGGTAGGGCAGGGTGGGGGTGTGGTGGGGGAGTGGGGTGTTGTCAGAAGCATCACGAATAGTTTCATGGGTTTTGATAGAGAGTCTAACATGTTGCTGAACTCAACTTTTAAAGTTTGAAAGGAGGTGAGGTGGGGGTGTTATTGTCAGGAAGCATAACGAATGGTTGTGGAATCGCGAGTCTAAAGTGTTGCTGGACTCGACTTTTGAAGCGACGCATGTCGATGCAACTAGCTTATTGTTAGATGCCAGCAAGATCAGCAAAGAACTACTAGCCTCGACTTCTTGTAGTCTTAACCAGGTTCCTCTAATTCTGTAAAGCCATCACCCCATTTATTATACTCACTCCACTCACGTCGGACTAGTGTGAAAGTACTATCGCTGAGCTGACTAAAACCATCTTTTACGAAGCCAACGAAAACCGTCCAAAAACGACGTTTTTGGCTGTATAGTAAACTGGGAATGTCCTTCATAACCACGCCTTTACATTTGAATGTAATATATACAATCTAATGGGCGTGGTAATAACAAATATCGGAAAGGCAAATTGGTGTACAGAACGACTTAAGATGTACTGATAACGACTACTTCTATTCGTACACCACGTACAGCATTCATGTTTGCTCGTGTCTTAACTGATCTGCACTGCTTGCAATCTCGTATCATGAACATTCTTTCAGTCGCCCTAACAAATCTCCCTCTCTCATTACGCAAACGCTCCATGAGTCACGTAACCAGTGACGAATGCTTATCAGGACGATAACAGCTCTCATCAGCTTAGCCGCTCCCACACAGGGACAGGAGCTAACTCAGCGCTAAGCATAGGAGCTAACTCAAGGCTTCTCCCACACAGGGACATGAGTTAACTCAAGGCTTATCCCACACAGGGACAGGAGCTGACTCAGCGTTAAGCGTAGAAGCTAACTCAAGGCTTATCCCACACAGGGACAGAGGCTGACTCAGCGTTAAGCGTAGGAGCTAACTCAAGGCTTCTCCCACACAGGGACAGGAGCTAACTCAGCGCTAAGCGTAGGAGCTAACTCAAGGCTTCTCCCACACAGGGACAGGAGCTAACTCAAGGCTTCTCCCACACAGGGACAGGAGCTAACTCAAGGCTTCTCCCACACAGGGACAGGAGCTAACTCAGCGACAGGGGCAGGAGCTAACTCAAGGCTTCTCCCACACAGGGACAGGAGCTAACTCAAAGCTTCTCCCACGCAAGGACAAGAGCTAACTCAAGGCTTCTCCCACACAGGGGCAGGAGCTAACTCAAGGCTTCTCCCACACAGGGACAGGAGCTAACTCAGCTCTAAGCGTAGGAGCTAACTCAGCTATAAGCGTAACAGGCCAGAGTCATTCTCATGCTCACCCGCAGCAAGGTGAAGAGGTGTGGCGCCAGATCTCGTCTGCTTTAGCCAGCAGCCAGATTTCATCTTCGTCTCCAGATATTCCACCGTCCGAATGTGACCACCTGCAAAGACGTCCACCATATAACGCGCTAGTTTGCAGACGCGAACTTTGTGATGTCACCAACATGTCGATTGTTGTCACCACGGCGTAATATACTTTTTTAAACCACTCTTAATTTGTCGCAGAGTTTTGCTATTTTCGTTCGTTGCCTCGCGATAAACCACTCTCACAATTTCTGTCGACATACGACGTTGACGATATGTTTTCGATGATGATGTTGGTGATAGCATTTATTGTGAGCCGGAACCAAAGTGCACAAGGAACGTCACGCCATCGTCTCATATCGACTGTAGAAAGATACGTGATCACTAGACTCAGATGTTTAATATTAGGTGCATCGGCCGCCCACGGACTTGTATACATCTCATAATCATAATCGCGGCTCCTATATTTACACAATCTAGCTCTACCTCACAATCTACATGTCACCCTTTACCTCAAACAGGAAGTCCTAAGTCTCGTTAATACATGAATGAGCCAGCGAGGGGGCAGAGGACAGAAACAAGTAGCGATGCGGATTAAGGGAGATGCTATACGCTCCCCCAGTTGGATTCGGGCAAAAAGTACCCAGCACACACATAACATTTCAGCGCTTCACGCGGCAAATTTTTTTGCCTGTAGTGAGTAACCAATTGAGCAAACAATAAGTAAAGTTAACAAATATTTTAATAACGCGAATATCTCCGAAAAAGCTCGCGCAACACAGCGGTGAGTCATTTCTCTCGGGGTGTCGATTCCAGGAAGGCGGAGGGAGGTCGCACCGACCGCAGATTCTCTCATTATTTATCGTGTACCGGAACCACGGTGCACAAAGAACAGCCATCATCTTACATCAACTGCAGATCCGGGATCCCTAGACTTAGATGCTTAATATTAAGTGCATCGACCCTGGCCTTCTTTTTCAATCCTCGAGAATAAATCTAAGCGTCTCTGACGCGGTGGACACGCGATACCTTGCGCGGCTACGTGCAGCGGGTTCTCTCCCTTGATGTTCGTCGTCTCGACGCCCGTCAGTCCGTTCTCGGCGAGGTACTGCACGCAGTCCAGCTTGCCATAGGAGGCGGCATAGAACACGGGCGTAGCAGCTGGAATTCACACAACGCAACGCGTTAGGCAACCGCCTGCAGAACGACCAAGTATGAAAGTACAGCGGTTCCTGCCCTATCAGAATAGGTGGGGAACCACGAGTACATAGTAAATAAGCGGTGGTCGCAATTGAGCAACGAACACATTTCCAGTCACACTTGCATATACCTCCTTTTCAGGACGAAATTGTCTGTCGATACACACGAGCCAGTATTATCATATGCGCAAAAACGATTAGGGACCGTACGTGTGTGGGCTGGCGAAGCGTCGATAAATACAGCTAACAACATGCGCTAAAAGATGCTGGTCGAAACCGGCATTCATTGTCAATCATTCTCGGACATGGAATTATCATAAATTAGGACTGCCTGAGAATGCCGAATGCTGATCTCTGTCCATTTAAAGGAGTGAGATCTAGCATTTACAGGTGCTCTCAGTCACTCTCATGTTGGGACTGAACCCTGCCCCCACTACTGATTGACAGGCTCTGACAGTGAACCATATAAACTGGCAGCTAACAACACATGTTGCTACATTTAGGAACGGTTGGAGGGCATGGATAAACAGTTTTTACACGTATGGTAAATCGGTTGAAACTCCCACATGTACTCCTCCTGGCACCTGTAAATCTCAGACCCTGTTCCTTTAATGTTTGCGATACTAAATCTGAGGGTACATGCGTTCCGTAGTCTGGTCTGTACATACGAGTGAACCGACCCTGACGACTAATGCTACACATCACCTTGGTGATCCTTGGAACTGGTGAGCTCTTTTGTCTGTGTGGTAATCTGCTTCACAATGGAAACATCTCCTGAAACATTCCATAATGGTGTTTTTAGAAATGCCTTTTTTTCGTGACAAAATGTCCAACTTTGACAGTAAGAATACTCAATTACAATACCAAGTGTTTACTTTTTGGCAGTGGCTACGGGTACGGTAGCCGTATCTTAATGTCTCGAGGCTACGGGTACGGGAGTCCATTCGCTTTCATACTTAACGAGACAAAGATGGCGGCGGTGGCGCTAGATTTCGAAATAACGCCTTGGGAAATAAATTCACGATTTGAGAGTTTAGATGAGCAAGAACCCTAACCCTAACCCTAAACCTAACCCTAACCATAACCCTAAACCTAACCCTAACCCTAATCCTAACCCTAACCCTAACGCAAAAAAGGGGCTTGAACGACCGACGGCTACCGTACCTCCAGCCACTGCGTTACTTTTTTTATAGCAATACCATTTACCATTCCTTTTAGTCGTGGGAGGTAGGTCTTTTGTGCAATTTTGGGTGCAATTTTGAGTGTGCTTTGTGTTTCCCACAGAAATATATAGAGACACTAGAACGCTGAACTACAAATCAGACTTCTAGTCTATCTGGTATATTATTTCTATGGTGTTTCCAAACATACATGCACATAACGTTCTAATACCGATTCCAGCAGCTACGTGAAGAGCAGTGGCGCCATCTGTGTTCTTCAACCACAACATCTCGTTTGAGTATTGACCGATGATCCACGCTGCAACCTCTGTCTGCTTTCCCATAATAGCTCGGTGAAGAATGCTGTTGCCATAGCTGTAACACATCAATTCGTATATTACTACAATGCTATTCGATGCTATAATCTATGATATTGAACGATGAAGAACAAACGGGGGAATTACCGCTAAGTAGCAAGAAATCTTTTCTTGAAATGACGCCACACTTTAAATGGGTTTTAAACATTGTGGAACATTCTAGGCTGGGTACACAGTTGAGCATGTCTGAAGTGCATGTTCTACGGATCGGGCGACTGCATACCAAAACGTAAATTTGCATACCATACGCTTGCCAACATTATTTGCACAGTATACACAAGCCAATATGTACACACTGTTGAATGTAACATTGTACGTAAAGTTTTGGGCGAGCTATTGCAGAACGTAACTGTACAGAAAGTACAGTTCTAACCGAACTCAGAACTGCACAGTTAGTTTTGTAATGCCAGTAGATGAGACATATTTACATAGTTTAGTGCATGTCATTTGATATCAGGATTAGCTGGTTATGCAATAAATACAAAGCAAGGAAGAGAAAGAGCGACAGACAGAAAGTGAGATAAAGTGAGAAAGAAAGAGCGAGACAGACAGACAGACAAACAGAAAGAGGGGGAAAGAAAGAGAAAGGATGGAGGAAAGAAAGGGGAAGTGAGAGTGAGCAGACAGCTGACCGAGTGCAAAATAGAGATGAGAGTGAGAAAAAAAGTAGGAAGAGATGAAAGGCAGCACACGGAGTCAGAGGTAGGAAGAACGAATAGGACAACGACGAAACAGCACAAAACTGGGCGGAAGGGAAAGACAGCCAGAATACGAAGAGAGCGAACTGCGAGAGATTGATAAAATAAACAAAGTTTGACACTCACGCGTCTGGCTCGTACGAGATAGCATTCTCCGGAGTGTTCAACCGCTCCCTGTGTTCTACGTAGACGATGATAACCTTCAGGGCGTCAATGTGACCATAGGTCGCTGCGATGTGGGCGCACGTCTCCTTCTGAACATTCTTCTGGTACGGGTCGATTCTATCATACGACTTAAGGAACCATCTGCAGCAGATGCGATCGTGAAATTTGATGGGGGTTTTAATTTTAAGCGAGCGTACATTCTGGTAGATGCACTGCAGCCGAATAGAAGTGTTAGAAAAGCAGGAATGCATGTAAAATGCGAGTATGTGCATGCGAACAATGTACACAAATGTTCGTGCGCGGGTTATACGTGTACACAGCTCCTGTATTAATCACTGTCCGAGAGAACATTATAACGCTGCCTTTAGCAAATACAAACATGACTATCTATCAGAGCCTCCTAGCAACTGCAGTGCTCAAATATTGCCTCTCTATGCCGCCTCAAATCCACTCTGCAGCTTTTATATTCCCATTACGCATTATCAGAAGTATAATAAGGAAACGTGGTAGTAAAACCGCGCAATACGGCAGAATACAACCACAGAGACATTAGCATCACGAATGCTGGTAATACCATAAACAAGTCTATAACACATAATACATAATTATGTATTATGTATTTTCAACACATAATACATAATTATGTATTATAGTATTACATTAATATTACGTATGCTGGTAATACCATAAACAAATCTATAATTATAGAATTATATTAACATTACAAATGTGTAAGCAGGCACCGGTGTTCATCTATAATTTTCGGGCATTAATCTATTTAATAACTAGAGCACTCGGAGAGCGCAGACCTCAGCCAAGGCAGCTCTGACTGTGAAAATTTTTATTAATTAATTGGATCCAGATCATGACGAAAATGTAATCAATTCTAAGTTACCCCATTTCTGACCTATCCTGAAAATTTATTAATTAATTGGATGCGGATCACCACCAAAATGTAATCAATTCTAAGTTACCCCATTTCTGACCTCCTGAAAATTTAATTAATTAATTAATTAATTGAATCCGGATCACCACCAAAATCTAATCAATTCTAAGTTAGCCCATTTCTGACCTATCATGAAAATGTTATGACAATCCGTCCATAACTTTTTTAGTTAGGCTGTACACAAACAAAGAAACGCACAAACCCACAAACCAACACACGCCGGTGAAAACATAACCTCCTGCCAACCCCTTGGCGGAGGTAATAATCTAAGAGGATACTTACGTGATCACGTCCGCATTCCCGCTCCTGGCGGCCGAGTGCAGCGGCGTGTTCTGCGAATTGTTGAGTAGCGGCAGTGTCTCCCCTGTCTTCCTCTCCACCTCCGCGAGCTGCACGATATTCCTGAGGTCCCCCTCGAATGCCGCCTTGTGCAGCGGGAAGGCCATCGCGACGACCCGCACCCCGGAAAGGACGCAGACAAGCGTTCACGGTCGGACGAAGGTCAAAGACGACGATGGCGTCGAGCGACGACCGGCTATCGGGCGCGACGCCGCACCACCGGATTTCGCTCTAGATCTCTCACCGGATCTCACTCAGGATCTCGCTGGAGTTCACACTCCTGATCTCTCGCCGGATCTCTCACCGGATCTCGCACTGGAGCTCACACTGCTGATCTCTCACCGGATCTTGCTCTAGATCTCTCTCAGTATCTCGCTCTGGATCTCTCACCGGATCTCTCACACCAGCTATCTCATCAGATCTCTCACCGGATATCTCACCAGATATCGCTCCGACCGCCTCGCTCAAAAGACGTCACCTACGATCGGCTAGAATCACGATGTCTGCAGCACTGTCGACCACTAGGCGTAGGTAGTACACCGCCGCATGGAGGTAGTCACTCGCTCAAACACACCGGTAGTCACTTTCGCAGGAACGGCACGTTAGCGCGTGACTGCTTTAACGACACGCAGCAGAACGGGGGGCGGCTGCGGCGCGCGTGCACTGTTTAGCAGCTACTGTCCCGACTGAACGTGACTGGACTTAGTACTGGGTGGCGATCGTCGCCCCGCCGATAGACTGCGGTATGTACCTGCCGCGCTGCAACAACCTGTGATAATCTACGCTGAACGGTGTGTGAAGGGAGCGGTGATGTGGGGAAAGGGGGCGGGGGGAGAATGCACATATTTGCTTTGGCAAGCGTTATCGTGTCTGCAGTCGTCCGGGTGTAGCTGATACGCGCGTGCATAGGTGTCACTTCTCATCTCGTTGGACAAATACTAATGTTAGCAGAATGCGCCTGACTAACTCTCACAGTATTGGTGCTAATTCCTACAGTAGATTGATAGGCAATTAATTAAGCATAGAGTGGCACGAAATCTCTTAGAGCGACATCGACTACAGTTTCATTTCGGTACAGACACAAACTCTGTGTGAAGTTGGGAGTGCTACAAGTTTTTCGGAGAATTGGTTCTTGAATACTATCTGTGATTGCGTTGCCGATAAGACAGTGCACTGTTCTACTCTCGAGCTATTTCATGGTTCATACAGAAGTGGAAAATTTTTTAAGGACTTTTCAAGGACATTTTATCCGAAATTTAAGAACATTTTATCGGACATTTTATCGAAATTCATACACAGAAGTTGAACAAAACATACCTGGATTAATTTAATAATAACCCCATTCTTAATCACTGTCACCTCTAAAACTTACCTGGATCACATTAATAAACCCTTCTAAACACTGTCACTTCTACAACATACCTTTATTTACTGACTGATTTTACCGACTTACTGTAATTTGTGATCATCATTTAACTGTCTATCATGTCTATAGCTTTTTAAGCTCATTTAACGCAATTTTTATTGAGGTTTGAACATTATTGATGGTACAAAATTTCTTTTTATTACAGGCACGGATTCTTTCTAAAAATTCAAGGATAATTTCATGAAATTCAAGGACTTTTCAAGCACAAAATTAACATTTACTAAATTCAAGTACTTTTCAAGAGCTCCCCTCAAATTCAAGGACTTTTTAGACTGTGCGAACCATGTATTTGCCTTTAAATCTGTGACTTTGCTCGGGCCCGAGAGCGAGTCAACATCCGACCTTCTGCCATAATTTTGTATTTCCCATGACTCGGACACTTGATAACCTAGATTTAGGCACCTTGACCTCTGCAAAGGCAACAATTTACTGCCTTCACAAATTTCCAGGGAGATTCAGCAACTGCAAGATCTAATGCAATAATGGTAAAAATGTCACATCCAAGGAGCAAAGGTAGGAAAGCAATGATGGAGTATTTCAATAATTATAATAAAATACTTTTGGAGGAAAGCTACTCTATTTGAATTAGTCAGTAAATACGTTTAGAAAGGCAAAACAAGCAATGATCCTTAATCCAATCTAAATTATTTGAGTTATAAACCTTTCCATGTTATGAATAACATTTAACACAAATGATAACTTTTGAAACACATAATTTATTAATAAATTGATCGGATAATTCAATACACAGATTCCGATTTATCGCTTATTATTTTCGCTTTTAAAGAAAGCAAACAGGAAATTGATAAATGTTACCACAGCAGCAAAAATAAACAACATAAAAAGTTTTCTGAGTCTTACTGTGAACTTCTTTAACAATTAAGTGACAAACTTTTGTTGATAAATTGCTAAACTGTGAGCTGTATATGAAGTTTTTAACATCAAAATTATGATGTACATGCAACACTGGCATGTGCAGCACATAAATAGTAAAGTTAATGACAATCAATGTTCACTGTCCTGATTTTGAAACTGCAAGACTTATTTGAACTTATGCAAAACCAAATAAGTTTACAATTCAGTCTATTTTGACTTCTTGGTGACTATTAATTCTCGTAGGTTATCTTCACTTTCTTTAATACACTTCTCCAAATATGACTTATTGCTCTGAAAGAAAGACGAGAAACAATTGAATTATGTAGTGTGTCTGGTACCAGGTGGAAATATTTCTATAAAGAATTCTGGCAGCTCCACCAGTTCTTGATGTAAACATTACGTGTTTTACAAATGTAAAACAATTGTAACAAATGTAATTACGATGTAAACAAACATTTCATGATGTAAACAGATACGGGAGCACCGTAAGAGTTGAATCATATTTAGTATAACATTTGCACATCCTAATTCAACATCATAAAAATCAAAGGCTTAGACATATATTCAAATTTAAAAATGCAATGCTTTTTGCACCTAGTTTTCAAAATCAAGAATGCACCGTTAGAGGTACAGACTTGACTACTATTCGATATATACCTCCCACACTCAACCATATTATCTATCAGTTGCTTTCAAAAGTTCAAGTTATCGATGACCAGTGACAAAGAAAATCAATTGAACCATCTTGTATCTCACCTCTAGGTTTTTTATCTTTTCCTCCTGTGATTTTATTTTCAATTGCAAGTCATCCTGAACTATATTAACTGGTGTCAATATGAACCTAGAAGAAAACGCTCTAATAAACATATTATTGAAACTTAGTAGAAGCACCAAAACATACAGGTATGATTTCAAAAACCTGAATCCATGCTTGAATGACCTCTTCACTTCTATTACCCATCCAAACCTAACATACACCATGCCCACTCATAACATTTCAATTGAAGTTCACAAGGTGGTGTGTCACATTGACGGGCAATTTAACATTTTTACTAGCATTGGTCTACATGCGATTTTTAACATCTACCCCCAATAAAGTTGACTTTGAAAGTTTTTTGAAGTAATAATCTAACTCCATGCCTGAAAATGAATGTTGTTGCCATAAATCTTCACAACATGGTGATATAGCTTTAGATCTATGACATGAATGTGGTGATTTGACTCGCATTCCCTAAGAAAACGTCCTGGCTTCTTTACACACACCATGGCATGAAAAAAAACAGTATTTCATCGCAAAACGCGATGCCAATCTCGGGTAGTGCTACCCAAATGCGAGATTATGTTGCAACAGTTACTATACAAATGCTACTAGCAATGGACCTAATAAAATATTTGGTCAATACTGGATTATATATTCAACTTTCATAGCATTTCAATACTGGTTATAGTTCATTGCTACTCATTTGCTTTATAGGCATTGTTAAACAAAAGCAGCAAATATTTTACCGTGAATAAATGTTTGAAATTCACAAACTTTATTCGAAGTTTATTTTCCTTCGTGAGCACATCCATGTTGCCTGCCAATCATACCTCATCTTAATGCCCAACATGTGACATATATGCACCAAAAATGCCAATTTCCACATGCCATAAGTAGAACAACACTGCTAAATATTTGCTATGCATTCTACTATTTGCTTTGCAAATGTTGCTATTCAAATTTTGTACTGCCATGCATATTGAGTACAGGTAGATTAGGTTAAGCTGACAAAGACATTGATAGAATCACTTACATTCGACCAACACTTTCGTACGTTCTTGTGTCTGTGGGAATTTCCGAGATTTCACGATTGGTGAGTTTGGCATGGTTAATCTGTCTGCGGCATTGCTCCACCTGAATGTCCGACATTTTTAGACGCTGCGTCGTTTCAATCATTTTCATCTGCAGCTCCTGAAATGCCTGGAGTGAAAAATGCAAAGAATTGCTGCACTGTAGCGGCACCGGCGGTGTCCAATAGCAAAGCAATAGCAAAAGCTACCTCCACATCTACACATGTGTCGCAAAATGATGTACATTTTTGCCTAAATTCATGTCACATCACACAGTGACACGTGCATTTGCAAACTTGCTGTAATGTTGTGCGTGAATCCTTTGGAAGTGAGCCTGCAGTAGTGTGTAACTGTGTACGATAACGCACAACCACTGTGTGACACCCTCTGCGTAACACTGGGTGTAACTGTGTTACATGCAGGGTTCTCCCTACGTTGCGCAAACGGGGCGCGCGCGCCCCGTTTGGGAAAACTCCCCCCTGTTTGATCGTTTGCGCTTGCCCAGTTTAAATTACTCCGCCCGTTTTAAATTCCACCACAATAAAAGTTTGCCAGCCGCGGGGAATCGATCGTCAAGAATTGCCGTTCGACCAGGACATCCGGACGCATGTATTTTTACCGTACCACGCATGCACTGCAGACAGTACACAAGTTAACCTGACAATGCACAGTTTAACCTGTCACTAAACTGTACACCGACTGCGGCTATCTTATATATACAAGAACCCAAATACCGTCTAGTTGGTGTGGTGGCGTTTTACGCATTAATTAGTCGTACGGTTAAAAATACAGGCCCCCGGACCCCCTAGTTTCTCCCCCTCCCCTACCCTCCCCTCCCCCTGTTTGAATTTCAGTCCTGGGGAGAACCCTGACATGTGTAGGCCTACAGCTAAAAAAAGCCTACACTGACTCAGCACTGTGACTGTCCACACAAAGTAGCTCCAAGAAAAAAACGGTATTGCTAAGGTTAGAATATATGTATATTAACGTTAGTCACACAGCCTGGTCGGGTTAGACACACAGGTGACAGACAGTACACGGCCTCGGGGCACGCGGGGAACTTGCCCGGCACTAGCGTCGGAGTTATGTTTTTTTAGGAGCATACACTCGCAACTGTATTTGTCAAATTTTCCGCACAGGATTTATGGCTTTAAATCTCAGCGTGCTTGCTCATATGTATCCTTTATTACGACAAAAAAGCCACAGATTACCTTTCTTAATTCTAAATCCACAACAGGCCCTGCCATCTTTGATTTTCTACAAGGACGTCCTCTTGTTTATAAACAAACGACTGAGCATTCATCTCATCATTTGATGTTTTGAGGTGGTGAAGTGTAATTTAACTTAATTTGTATATAAACTCTCAAGTCAGTTTACAGCTGGAATAGCTGATTAAGATAGATTTCGAAAAGCATGATTAGTTAGTATCACTGAGATGGATAGCCAGAGGAGAAACGATGACAGTGCTACTAACATAGAAGGACGAGGTAAATTTAGTTGCTCTACTCTGGCACCCCTACCAACACTACACACTGCAACTACGCTGGACCACGCATTATAAACAATAATAGTACTACTACTAGTAATAATTTCTCTTTCAGTATATGTATTGTTTATCACGCACGTTGCAAGGCGCTTTTTATGTAAGTAATGCTGTTACGCGGCGTGTTGGCCCTAATAATTTTTCATCATTATGATTATCTTCAAGTTCTTCTCCTTCCCCTTCTGGCTTCTCTTCCTCCTCCTCTTCTTCTTCTTCTTCCCTTCCTTCTCCACCTCCTCCTCCCTCTTCTTCCTTTTCTTCATCTTCTACGTCTTCTAGCTGCTTCTTTCAGCCTTTTCTTCTTCCAGATCGTGATGCTTTAAAAAAGACTAACCCAACTAAACCCAACTAAATAACCACGATCGCCTCCTCCTCCTCCTCCTCGCGCAGGCATGAAGTCGCTGTACTTCCGGCACCAGCTCAGCGAAGCGAAGAAGTTTGTCGAGTACAGCAAGCACTCGTCGGCGTGGCTGCACACAACGCCGACACGCGACTGTGACCTGATGATTACGTTCCCGCTCGACACGGAGGACCACACGTTCATGTGGCTTCTCGCACGCCTCCGCTGTCGCACGCCCGAGCTCATCGTGCACGTGCGTCACCACGGCAACACGGGCGCGTTTGCGTTCTACTTCACGATGAACAGCGAGAAGTAGGTTTGGGCGAGGTGGGGTGGGGGTGGGGGGATAGTGTGGGGGTGGGCGTGTGGGTGTGTGTGCGTGCGTGCGTGTGTGCGTGTGTGGCGTGGTGCATTTTGTGTTTGTCTGTGTGTGCGTGCGTTCGTGTGTTAGTGTGTGTGTGTGTGTATGTGTACATACATGTGTGTGTGTTAGTGTGTGTTTGTGTCAGGGGCATAGCCAGCCTTTCCAAGAGGGGGGATTCCTTCCAAGAGGGGGGATTCTAAACCTACTATATACTAATAAAACTTCGTTAAAATGTTCGTTTCATACTTTTATATACATACTGTATCAGATATGTGCTATTTTCATACAAACCAGGGGGATTCCGGAATGCCTGGAATCACCCCTGGCTACGCCCCTGTGTGTGTCTATGTGTGTGTTTTAGGAACTATTTGTCAGCATTATCTAAAATTACCTAGCATTATGTAATCTTATCCTGTAATTCAAGCATGTAGCTTTATTGATTTCTGACCAGGAATACGAGTTGAGTTATTGCTTGCTTTGCAGCCTTCTGAAGGGAGCGGAGGTGCAAAGAATCCGAAAGCGTCTAAAGCCCGAGTTTGGTGGAGGCCTCAAGGAATTCTCCTATCAAGACCAGATGTTATTCGAGGGTACCTATCTGTTACATGGTTGCCCGGTGCCATTTGTTTAATCGCCCGTGGCGCGCTTACACAATCTCAGTGTAGTTTCAATAAATCAGAGTGTAGTGATTGCACTAAATTACGGTACCCTTCCTGTGGTTTTACGAACGTTCAGTGTTATTTGCTGGAGAGGCAGTCAAAGTAGGAAAAAAATAAAAAATTTAAAGAGCAATAGGGAAAAAAACTGATTGAAATTATTCTTTAATAAGTTATTTTTAAAATTATTGTCATCATCATTATTATTATTATTACATCGCATAAGTTACTATTAAAATCAATTGGAGATTGAAACAGTGCATGCTTTGCCACCTAGATTTAATTTACCCCCCCCACCCCAAGCAATGTCATTCCCACACTTGTGCATGATCGCAACGTACCTGTGCTGATGAGACGTACCTGTGCTGACGACGTACCTGTGCTGACGATGTACCTGTGCTGATGTGACGTACCTGTGCTGACGACGTACCTGTGCTGATGAGACGTACCTGTGCTGACGACGTACCTGTGCTGACGAGACGTACCTGTGCTGACGAGACGTACCTGTGCTGACGAGATGTACCTGTGCTGACGAGATGTACCCGTGCTGACGACGTACCTGTGCTGACGACATACCTGTGCTGACGACGTACCAGTGCTGACGACGTACCTGTGCTGACGACGTACCTGTGCTGATAACGTACCTGTGCTGACGAGATGTACCTGTGCTGACGAGATGTACCCGTGCTGACGAGATGTACCCGTGCTGACGAGATGTACCTGTGCTGACGAGATGTACCTGTGCTGACGACGTACCTGTGCTGACGAGATGTACCCGTGCTGACGAGATGTACCTGTGCTGACGAGATGTACCTGTGCAGGTGTGGAGGACATGGCTTCATTCATCACGAGTCAGGAGCGGCAGTCGATCATCCTGCACATGATCTACAACCTGCGTGCGACCGACGGCGACGAGCTAAAACACCTCGCATTCCGCGACGGCGAGGCCATCGGTAAGTAGTGATGTCATCGCTTCTCGCATTCCGCGACGGCGAGGCCATCGGTAAGTAGTGATGTCATCGCTTCTCGCATTCCGCGACGGCGAGGCCATCGGTAAGTCGTGATGTCATCGCTTCTCGTGCTCCGTGACGTCATTAGATCTCGCATTCCGCGACGGCGAGGCCATCGGCGAGTAGCGATGTCATCACGTCTCGTGTTCGGTGACATCAGATCTCGCGTTCCGCGATGGTGAGGCCATCAGTGAGTCATGACGTCATCGTTTGTCGCTGTTCTGTGATGTCATCACTTCTCGTGTTTCGTGGCGTCATCAGTTCTCGCGTTCCGCGACGGCGAGGCCATCGGCGAGTAGCGATGTCATCACTTCTCGTGTTCGGTGACATCATCAGATCTCGCGTTCCGCGATGGTGAGGCCATCAGTGAGTCATGACGTCATCGTTTCTCGCTGTTCTGTGATGTCATCACTTCTCGTGTTCGGTGACATCATCAGATCTCGCGTTCCGCGATGGTGAGGCCATCAGTGAGTCATGACGTCATCGTTTCTCGCTGTTCTGTGATGTCATCACTTCTCGTGTTTCGTGGCGTCATCAGTTCTCGCGTTCCGCGAC